TATTTTGTGTGTGAGGTTTTTTTAAGCAGAGTTAAAGATACACACGTGTCAGGCTGTTTGGCTTGTGTTCGTGTTTGCTGGGGCTTTGCAGGCCTGGGGACCAGAGGCCCGTGTGGGTAGGTTTGGACGTGCATCTCTTGGCGGTGTTTTGGACAGCGCACTTGCCAGAGGTTTAGGTTGGCTGTGTCAGTTAGGTGATTGTGAGTTGTGCACGGGATGTAGAAGTGTGTGAGTGTGCAGGAGGCTGTTGTGGGTCTGGTTGTGGCAAACAGGAGTCAGCATGCAGAGGGTGGTTGTGGCACACGGGTAAGCATTAAGGGGGCTGTTGTGGTACATGGTTGTGAGTGTGCAGAGAGCTGCTGTGTGTCTGGTTGTGGCACATGGGTGAGCATTTAGGGGACTGTTGTGGGACTGGTGGTATGTGAGTGTGCAGGGGGCTGTTGTCTGTCTGTGGCACACAGAGAGCTGATGTGGGTCTGGTTGTGTGGCACACGTTAGGCGTGAGCGTGCGGGGGGCTTTTGTGGGTCTGCACACGTTGGGCATGAGCGTGCGGGGGGCTTTTGTGGGTCTGCACACGTTGGGCGTGAGTGTGCAGGGGGCTTTTGTGGGTCTGCACACGTTGGACGTGAGGATGCAGGGGGCTTTTGTGGGTCTGCACACGTTGGGCGTGAGCGTGCAAGGGGCTGTTGTGGGTCTGCACACGTTGGGCGTGAGCGTGCAAGGGGCTGTTGTGGGTCTGCACACGTTGGGCGTGAGCGTGCAAGGGGCTGTTGTGGGTCTGCACACGTTGGGCGTGAGCGTGCAAGGGGCTGTTGTGGGTCTGCACACGTTGGGCGTGAGCGTGCAAGGGGCTGTTGTGGGTCTGCACACGTTGGGCGTGAGCGTGCAAGGGGCTGTTGTGGGTCTGCACACGTTGGGCGTGAGCGTGCAAGGGGCTGTTGTGGGTCTGCACACGTTGGGCGTGAGCGTGCAAGGGGCTGTTGTGGGTCTGCACACGTTGGGCGTGAGCGTGCAAGGGGCTGTTGTGGGTCTGCACACGTTGGGCGTGAGCGTGCAAGGGGCTGTTGTGGGTCTGCACACGTTGGGCGTGAGCGTGCAAGGGGCTGTTGTGGGTCTGCACACGTTGGGCGTGAGCGTGCAAGGGGCTGTTGTGGGTCTGCACACGTTGGGCGTGAGCGTGCAAGGGGCTGTTGTGGGTCTGCACACGTTGGGCGTGAGCGTGCAAGGGGCTGTTGTGGGTCTGCACACGTTGGGCGTGAGCGTGCAAGGGGCTGTTGTGGGTCTGCACACGTTGGGCGTGAGCATGCGGGGGGCTGTTGTGTCGCGTGCCAGAGGTGCCCAGGCTGGGTGTCCGGGCTGCAGTGGGTGGCACAGACTCTTCTGAGGGCGGGGCCAGCTGAGGGGCGGTCCCTGGGGTGAGGTCAGGCGGCCGATAGGGGTTCAAATGGCTCTTAGCCCATGGTGGTTTAGGTCACTGTTGCCCAGTGACTTGGGAGTGGGCACCAGGACTCCTAAATTCTCTTCCCTGCTCTGCCAATGAACTGGCACGTGTCCTTTCCCAGCTTTGTGCCTCAGTTTCTCTTGCCCACGCATTGTCTGTTTCGACAGCGAGGTCTATGGGGTGGGGCCTGTCTCTCATTCCAGGTAGCTTCTGGCACCGGGGCTGCTGGCCTCAGCCGTGTGGCAACGCTGCTGTGAATTGCCGGTGCCCTGCCCTTGGGGGGCTGTAGGTTTCCCGGGGAAGGGGGGGATGTTCGCTGACGTTCCATGTCCTGGGAGGGGCGGGGAGCCCTGATGAACAGGGCTGGGGTGATGGCTGCCGAGGCTGAAACCCTGCTTTCTTCCCAGGACAGAGCGAACCTCCCTCTTCGCTCCTCCTCCCCCAAAGCCCTGTCAACCGGTCCCATCTCGCAGCGCCCCACCTCCTCACCGGCATCCACACCCTTAAATTTACCCCCCCAGCCCGTTTAGTCCCTACTGGGGTGCAGGAATCCTTTGGTGACGTCCCCTAAGATCTGGCCTGCGACACTGGACCCATCTCTCCTGGTCACACGGCAGCCCCTTGGGGAAACAGGAGGCGTTTGATCTCCTCCGGATTTAAGGCTCCCTATCTCGCTGGCTCCTCCCTCCATGGGCCTCCTGATCCCCCACTCCCTGTGTGCGCCTCAGGACGCCTCCACGGAGAAGGGACGAAGCTGCCAGACTGGAGAAGGAAGACGCGGGAGAGTTTGCCGGAGACTGACGGGACTCGCATAAGCCAGGACCTGGGAGGAGGCAGTTTGGCTATGGACATCCTCCCTGACAATAAGACGCAGATTGTGGTGAGTCGGGGTAAGGTGGGGGGTTGCACGAGGCTGCCCTGAGGGCATGGAGGCGGTTGTAGGTTTGAGGGACCTTCACCCAGATTCTGTGTGTTCTGAAAGGCCACAAGAGTGGCCGGTGAAGCAGAAATGAGCCACCTGTCGGGGGG